AGAAACTTTGACAGTTTGTGGTTGTTTCAGAAAATAGGTGGTCACTGCCAATTGGTTCCTTTGCCTCCGTAGACAAAACCGCACTGGACAGCTGGTGCCTCGCGTACTTTTTTTATTAGAAATTACACTAGGCTTACTAGCTTCTTCGGATTCCCCGGCTTTTCGTTTGTTTTTGGGAGGGCGCCTGCTGCATTTGTAGTACACCCATTTGTAACGCAAAATAGTGTTGGTGCTTCGATTACTGGATGAACGCACAAATATCACAAAGTTATCCTCCATGTATTGATTTAAGTTCTTCTCAAATGCCGTGAAGGATGAAAACGATACACCCACAAATTTCTCAACGAAAGCCACTTCCGTAGCCATAGCAGACAAAGTTCAAAGCCGAATGTGCGCCAATAATTTTCAAATGTCATCGATTAAAACAAATCGCAAAAAAATAACGGCAGATGAGGGGGTTTTCCGTCTACGCATATATGCAAAGAATTGCAACAGTTTGACGTTGAATTTTTTATTTCGGCTGCAGGGGTTTTGTAGGAAAATACATTGTGCGTCTAGCCGCTGGCCACATCAAGCCATCAGCAGCCTTAAAATAAGAATTCCGCTCCCATAATGTAGAAGGCGGCTTGCTAACAATGTCCTCCCGTTACCACCCCCATGTGACAACCAATCCCCATATTTATTCCCCTTGACCAGATGAACTGAAACCTTCTCGTTTTACTGAACTATTTTTATAACTCTTACGGACTCTGGTCGGACATTGTGACCTTTGCGGTTCCTCGCCGTCGATATCGGTTTGGTTGTGACGATATCGATTTTGAGGCGTTGTGATCTGCGCTTTATCCTCAGGATGGCAATTGCGCCGCCTTATTTTGTAACCTTACGGTATCTGCATAGGAGAATCCGCTGAGGTTTGTTGAGTATGTATATTATATTTGCAATAGTACCGTGATTCCAGAATTCGGATTTCTTGGTCGTTTTCCTGAATTGGCACGCGTGACTCAACTCAAACTCGCAGATAGCCGTAACACAGTAGACCGCGAGTTCGTTTAAACGATCAAAAAGTGCGGCCGGATGCGGAGATTTCAAGGGTTGGATTATATGCTAAAACGTTACGTTAAAGATTCTTTCCTTCAAACTACGGTTTCAGAGTAATTTCGGGTATGCTCCCTACACTTGGCGAAACGTCGTAAGACAAAAGCAATCGCTTGATTTGTGCGTCAGTTTAAATAACGACCAATCGGTATGAGAACAATGCCAGTGTGTTTCACGCGACTTAGCCGCGTTGGGCGTTCATATAGCCAATGAATTTCAGTTTGTGCGCATTCAGACTGTTCACTAATTTCCATCTGTTTATTTGGCGTCGTCGCGTGAGCCATGGAATCGCTCTGCGAGAGACAAGGTAACACCATCATAAGAAAGATGATCAGTATCTCAACCCGATTTGATGTCATCCCAGCTGATTCATGGATACGGGCAATTCCCAGTCGTGTGTTTCCAGTGTGTAATATACTAGCTTCTGAGCCTTGTTTTTCACTGCTCTTTACACCTGAAATCTTTGGCCTTGTTTGAAGTGACAAACAACGGATAAACTGGAATATCTTGTCTATCGGTGGTCTATCATTTCTGTAGACGGCAGGAGGTATAATTAAGAAGTTGGTGCTTACAATGCATGTATGAAGTTGTAGTGTACATCATTTAATCAAAGTAGACAGACGGATGTTGTCGCTCTAAGCAACACGCGACACGTGATGGTGACGAAGATCGATTCAGAATAAGAAAGCCGATCTAGAGCCGAAACGGGAAAAACAATGCGTGGAATGAATTTGCACATGACAAGAATAGTAAAAAATGTATCACCAGCGGCTACCAAGGCCAGTGTAGCTTGACCTACCAACTATATTCTCAGGGTTTAAAAGTGAGATCAAGTCAAATGGTACAAGTGCAATAGCCATAAACGTCTCTCTCAAACCGGAGCATGTGCGCAGGTTGGGTGAGCAGGTGGTTTTCTTTTACTTCTTTCAACAGGCAGATGCGAATTAACTTGTATCGGCTTTTAGGAGCACTTCCCGAGTATGGCCATGACTTCAGAACTTGAGCTCTACTATGATACCTTCCCGTAATGTCCCAGACTAGGTTTTGCCGTAAGAATATACAAAGCCTCCAACTCGAAAATGTCAACGGTTTAACATTCATCAGTATCGCACCTGGTAGACCGGAATGTACTTCTTCAGCCATGGACGCTAACAGGTATCGGCCCACGCTCATCCCAGTCTCCGATATCCTGTATATTTGTCGCAGCCACTGGTCACATCATCTAACAAATCAATCTCTCTGAACCATAATAACATGTGATTTGACGTCAGCGCGTCTAACGAATTCGGACCTCACGTAAGTGAGGAAATTGAAAAGAGAAACATAATCCAGGACATGCTCACGGAAGAACGTACTCAGCATTTGGGTCTTACCTGACGCTTCCATACTTTTCCAAGGCGACCGCGATAGAGTTAACCAAAAAGCCAGGCAGTCCCATAAAATTGGATCCTCTTATTAACGGGATCACAATTCGGCAACTTCAGAAGTTTTCAAAGTTTCCGGGTGGCCCCAAAAGTGTTTATTTCCTATTCATCGTACACTTTCTTTCGTGAACCGTTGTGGATAACAAAACGGAAATGTTTCTTAAGGAACGAGTCAATCAATAAGCAGTGATCCACTTCGATATGAAGTGCACGAGCATTAAAACAGATAAAAACAGATACATCCGTATTGTTTCCTCAATTATCGTTCGTCACACACAAAAGACACCGAAATAATACACACCGGTAGTGGCAAGAGCATAATTAAGCTAAACCGCGCAATCTAGTAAGGATGCCATCGACCGTTTCTCCGGCTTCGCCGAACTTGCTTGACATGACAAACACCCACGCACAAGCTGTTTACCTGCGGCTGCTTTTCTGAGAACCCAAAATTGCTGACGCATAAAAATGGAACATGCGACATTCCCATGTTTCTTTCCGACATGTAATGGTGTCTGATCAAGCAATGTGTTACTGGAATACGACCGTGAAGTATGTCTGCGGTATTAGGACGAATTTCAGTCTTTCAGTATTTAAGTATTGGAGAGATGATGTTTTGTGTGTTCTCGGGTTTTGGGTGATTCCCAGGAAAGGGGACCGAACACCTGCTCGAAGACATGCCGTTGCAGAGATTGTAACTATGAAAATTCTGCTCCTCTTAACTCATCGGGCTGCGAAGCGCTAAAGGAGAGCATGAACTTCGTCTATTCGTTTGACGTTGCGGTGAGGTAAAATAATAGTAGCAATAATATGGTGCATCTCTACAAAGTCCATTGAAAAGAGTGGGAGGATAGCACAAAAATTGTTGATGCTTCTAAAACCGCAGTGCTCAGAACGTTAGACTACTCGACTTCGAGACCCAATATATCATTGGCAAGACGTCCTACATTTCTCTTCGGACATATGTGCGCTGAGTTTTGTGAAAATGCTGATCCATGCAACCAAACGTCCAAAACGTCCATGCGGGTACCATAGACTCCACTCATGATGCCTGAAACCGATCTGATGATTTCCACAATTAAGTCAAACATTATCCTTGCCACCAAAGCCTCTGCCACATTCAAGGGTAAATGTTTGTTTCCTCTTCCAATTTGATTCACAGAATATTCTGTCACAGCTATAAGCCGGTTAACTGGTTTTTCAGGTGAAGTATACGTATCCCTTTTCCGTGGTGCGCTCATCGACAGCTTTTAATCGCTGAGCTCCTGCACGCCATCCTCCGATACAACGTCTTCGTTTTACTCGTCGTTGTCACCTTCATAGATTCTTTAAGAGCCACTGTCATGTCGAGAGAAAACCTAAAATGTTTCGTATGGCTTTTGCTTTGCATGACTCATTTAAATTTGCTTTTACAGTACCAATGTTTTATGTGCAAATTTTTATAAGGAACTGACTCCGGCTAGGTCGCTGGCCCATCTGTAACAGGTAAACGGTTCCTTCGGGAAGCGTTTATTATCACAACCTCCAAGAAGGCAGAGCAAAGTTGGAGTCGGGTTTCCATAAGATGCTATTACCGTAAGGCGTCAATTCACAAAATATACAAACATCTACTGTAGATACTTGTCCACAAAGAATGCTCCGCTTGAACTTGAAAGGTACAAATCATATGGACTAGCAGGCTTCAGCGTAACATGGTCACACCAGGTAGGCCACCAAAATGGCTTCAAAGTCAAGTGAGTAGAGTGGTAGGGACAAGCAATTGCCAGTTCGCCAAACACAAAAGCGATGTGATGTTTACACCTAGGGACGGAAAAACATGAGGAATTATAGGTGCCAAAGTAATGGGCGCTAAACCTTCAGTGCTTAGATTCCTGGAGATCCGATTGTGCAGAGGAAGCATACAGAAATTTGATAATTGCATAATTCTTTCACACATTTCCATGTATCGGTTGCAAATGAATTTTCGGTCCATACAGAAAAGCTTTGCGGAAGACAGTCCCTTATACGACAAAAAATATTCCTAGTAGGATGCACGGTGCATTAGATACCACCGGGAACGCCTACTTATGCATACCTTTCTATAGCATCTGAAGTAGGACTACGGCCTATCGCAGTGTGGTTTCACTGGTATATCTGAAAAACCGTTCCTTTGAAAGCAGTGCTTTGTCTTCTTTCGACTTCCCACAGAAAGTGTGAGAAAGGCACCTTATGGCAACTTGGTGGCACACCACCTTGCATATCTGGTAGCAAGCACGAATGGTGAAAACCTATTAAGGTGGTCGGTGCGGCCTGCAGGGATGGTTACCCTTTTGCGTTGCATCACATTGCGTTCGTACACTCAGCAGCTATCCGGTGGCACGAGTGTTTGCATAATTGCCAGTGGTTCTGAGCATGGACTTTAATTCAGAAAACACAAAACAGCACTGTCGTTTTCTGCTTGTTGCTACTAGGCCGGACTCGCTTCGGTAGTCATTTTAATGGCAACGCTATAAACTACAGACGGTAAAAACCGGACCTTCGTCTGCTAAAACAGACACTTGCAAAAACAGACTATATCGCTTTTAGACACCGAAGGCTTACACCAAAGCTCTGAGCTGTAGCTGCCTTCGTCATGGGCGGGTTGCACCAAAACAAAGTCCACCTCGTCAACCAAACAAATATATATATATATATATATATACCACGAGATCCTAACCCTCCACTGCGAGCAAACAACACTAATGTTCAAGATCTTTCTTCTCCATGCACTTTTTGCTAATTGATGCTGGTAGCAGTGTTTTGGGGACTTGTGACAATTTTTCTCCCACTGACGTTTGTAGGTGATGGTACTGTCCAACTCACTAAATAAATTCCGGATAAAACAGTTCATCATCTCGAAAGTCCACTCCCGTCGGTCAGTATAAGTTTGATTTCGCTAACCACACCAGTCTCGCTAAACTTCCTGTACTTCAATATCATGTAACAGAACAATAACACCCTGCTTCACCGCTGGTCTTCTCAGTACCAATCCACTCCAATCCTGTCACATTTAATTACTTGTCATTTCCTTGATTGTGGTATGCGTTAAGTTCATTTTCCTCTACAATAATGTACATTACACAGTCTGAAGTCTGCTCAACCTCCCCAAACATTACTGATTTTATCCCATTCATTCGTCTTCAAAAACTCGACCTCCGGCAATACCCGATTAGGATACCTTGTTCGGCCGTTATCAGTTCACCTGACTTGTGCTCCGCGCCAACAGCTGAAAACATCTGCCATCTCACATAGGCTTCGTCCTCCGCGGATATTCTCAGTCAACCTGAAAAAGTCCCACTGCTCTCGACAAAGTCAAAATTTTTTTGTACAGTTCGCGTCCCGACTTAGGAGCTGTCATCAACTCACTTTTCCAGGGAACTTTTGCACACGACTCCACTCTAACAGCGGCACCAGTGAATATCTACAATTTCGCTATACACCATGACACTGAGATCTCGACCACCTTTTATGTGCTTTGCTAATCCTCTCACTCCACTATCCCCACTCACACTTTCCATGACCCTGGCCACAAGCCAAAAATTCCAAGGCCACGAGGCATCAGCGGTGGTTTTACGTTTTTGTTCAGATTGACCCCCCACTTTTGCTTCACCAGATCCGCTGTTCTGGTTCCCCGTCTTCTGCAACGCGCGCTTTACTTGTCGCAGGTCAGGCAGGATGCATCTTGCTTTACCCTCCTTCGATTTGCTTTCACCCGCCACCTACAAATTCGAACGTCAACATCGGACACTGCCACTGTTTATGACATTGTTTCCTCCGCTCAAGAAACAGTACTTACAAAACCGCCAGTCCTGCTTTTTTCTGAGTTTAACTTTGTGATCATGCAAACCACCAGCTGAGAATAAAAATAATTATTGATGTCATCAAATTTTTACCGTTGTCGGTTGGCCAATTAGCCATGCTCAAACGAGATACCGTGAATTCTAAAAGCCACACGTGACTATCGTCTAACTTGTTGATGTCCATTTTCGGCAAGTCATGAACCAACGCCGTGGTTTGGCGGTCAACAGGTGCCCCGCGGTTCGAATCCCGGCTGCGATATTTTTTTGCGCATTTGTATGAGGCCGTCGGTCTTCTGCTACGTCACGGTCAATCTTTGAGATACACTTCCGGATATTGCGTCGGTTGGATAGTAACCATTATTATTCCAGTCGAAAATTCATTGACAGAGTTCTTATACACAGCTAGCCTCTTCACACGAAAAGTTAACCACCATTCTCTGGTTCCTAACTCCGTCATCTCTATCGCGATCCCTTCCCCAGTATCACGTTTCCGAAATTAATTTTTTCAGGATATCTACCCGAATGCCTGCTGAAACCCACAAAACAAAGGATGATTTTCCTGATGAGGAGTGTTGTGATAAAAAAGGAGACTGACCGACAGGAGTAGTATAGTTGGTAGTACTTTTCAATACGTTACCAAGTTCAGATTTCGACAAACTGTGAAGTAATTTGACGTTTCGTGTTCTTGTCGTATCGGTTTCAAGCTTTCAAAAAATTCAATTCGCGTAAATGTCCAGGATCCAAAAGATTCTACATTTGAGCAATCAGATTCGAGGACTATTGGTACGCTGAGTTGGGTGCAATATTGTTTGAATGGAGGTTCATCAATAAATGCGGCACTGTGAGTAACATGATGAAATATTGCGATTTTACAAGTCTGAAATTGCGGGACTACACCAGCTCCGGTTCAACGGTTTGGGGGCGCTAATTCTAACGTAACCCTAAGGTTCGCAACGATTCACGGCGTTGCGGCTACAACATAGCGAAACTCACGCGTTGATTTAAACATAATATGCAATGATAGTGTCAAAGGTGTCAAGTTTTGGTCAAAACAAGAAAGGCGATGTAGAAACAGTGGGAGTAACGAAATATGCAATAATGTCGTGTATAATAGGCGTAGTAGAAAAGAATCAGCAACAATTGCCCGGGAGTGGAAAAGTTGAAGATATTTCCCCGAATTTCGGAACGCGAAGAAATTATAAATTAGCATGTATTGTCACACTGAGCACTTGGTGATGCTGGAAATAGGAGAACCCTGACCATATTTATCAGTTCCTTCGGGTACGTGTGTTACATGTGCGTACGTGTGTTATTCACCGCAAGTTACTTATGTTTCCCTGGAACACCACATAATTCGACTGTGCCCCAAAGAAATTTTGTCTCTCGCCGCCAATCACACGCCGGCTTTTTACTTTTACATACCGCATCAACATCCGAACTATCTGCATCCATCTGTTTCAGTACAGGCATCATTTTATTATGAGCTTCCAATTGGGACCGGTCGGCTCCTGGAACAACGTCCCTTAGATGCACATCCTGTTGAATTCTCTTGAAAAAACTCGTTTGACCCCATGTTCAAGTCCTACATACAACAGCTTGCTGCCTATAAGACAACTCTCAACGTCTCCGACGTCCACAACATCGCTCTCATTTGAGGGTGTTGCTGCAGTGAACTACCCTGGAGGACGGCAAAGCGCACTGGAGTAAAAAGATCCACGGACAGCGGCAGATGCATGATGAAAGCCATTCGAATGAGCCCTCAAAAAGTGAGAAAACTCAAAACAACAAAGCTTGTGTGTATCTAAATAGTTTGCCTCATGGTAGAGCCATTATTGTGTATAAAACGAAGAGGCATTTAATTTAATGGGTTGGTGGAATAGGTACAGGGGAATTAGAATTAAAACTGACGTACCATAAAAACCATCAGCGCAAATGGCGGGTCTGACTTCCGTTCTCTTCATATACATCTACTCAACCCGAATATGTCATGGGTTGGTGAATAGGTACAGGGGAATTAGAATTAAAACTGACGTACCATAAAAACCATCAGCGCAAATGGCGGGTCTGACTTCCGTTCTCTTCATATACATCTACTCAACCCGAATATGTCACTAGAAACTGCGGTTTGCTACACAAAGACGACGTGAACTTTCCTACTCTGCATACCCCACCTTAATCTTTTGGATTTATCTGACTAGGCCATTTATTCGACCTTTCAAGGTCGTACAAACCTTTGACTTTATATCGTGTTTCCGTGTACAAGAGGCATGAAGTGAACCCCTGGATAAAACCATGGATCTGCCACAGGACTTGTTTGGAATCGCACTTCGGTGCAAAAGCGTGTCAGGAACTCTTGAAGACTATGAGTTTTTGGCCGCCTTGCTCGCCTACCTGATACCAAATGAAGATAAAAATTCATTCCGTGATTCAATATTTGACAAGCGGATCGAAAAACCTGCTGACATAGCCATGTTGTGTCTTGCTAGTCAAAAGTGTGATAATGTATGGACAGCGAGGGACGGAATAGATTGGTGAGTTATTGAAACAAGAACACAATTTGCTTTTGCACTTACTTCGTTGTTAGTTTCCAGTGAATCACCCACCGATCAACAAAATGAGGCCAATATTAGTAAGGTGCACCTCTAGGTCCCCTCAGGCCGCTGATGAGCTCACGAATGTATGTCACGAAACTTCAAAAATGCTACGTATGGCGTAATGAAAATACATCTAGACGAAAGTGGAGGTTGAACGAATCCACAGGGTTATGCAGCCACCAATGACACCTCATCAAACAAATGATGGAGGAATGATTACAGGGCAACTGTCATTTGCGAAGAACCGTGATCATATGAGTGGGGCGTGGGATGTCTTTCCAGACAAATCAGTATTTGTGCCTGCGAAAAAACAGACGTACCTTTCAGCTTATCGCACGTATAGAAAAATAATCAAGTTGACTGCTGAAATCCATTTTTCTGACGTTCCAGGATATGTCTCCTGGGCCGTTACGGGCATCTGAAATCTTATCAGAGTAGGTAGTAGTTATCGATGATTTTACTTAAAGCTTATGTATGACGATTGTTTTGTAAGATATCCGATATGAAAACGTCCACTAACCATATCATGCGCTCCTCCATGTACCTAAATTCCAATGACCCTCCATCGAATGGCCTTAAAATCAAAAGTTGATATTTGATCTATCATCACCTGAAGTTTTTTGGCGTTAAGTGATTTAGTTTCATGCAGAAACCTTTATAAGCCAAACATCCTCACTGAAAACTTTTTGAAGATAGAGAGTGAAGAAGCGTCTGCTTGAAGTATTTCGGTGTGTTCCAAAATACTCGTGTTCATTGACGAGAGATGGCAGGAAAATCTGATGTGCTTCGGTCGCACACTAACTTGCTGCTACTATCAGACTTTTGTTAAAGCATATTAGACGTGCACGATATGCAACTAAAAAAAACCCCAGCATGTACATGACTTCACAGAAGGCTGAAGGCCATCTTGGGTCGGTGCAAGTTTATGATTGCACGAGTTTATTCGGGATTCTTTACTCTCTAGTTAAGCAACCTAAATTTTGGTTGTGGTTCGGGGCTCCGGAAATTAGAACAGAGATCGAACCTGACGATGACACCCAGTGTAACCGATAGACGACACAACATGCTTAATGTGTGAAGTATTGTTCAAAACACCAGGAGTTCGCACCGAAGATACCCCATATAATGTCTATCAAAATGCGATGTGCAGTAAGCTCGTAAACATTCTGAACTTAAACGAGGATCAAGGAGAAATAAGAAGCATGAAATAGAACACAGTAACGGTTTCAGGTTTGATTCACTCGAAAAGATGCAGCTGCACAAACATTGGCTCATTTTCGTAACACTAGCAAACAACTTCCCCATCAATTTAGATGAGAATGCCATATCGGATGCTACATATTCATACAAAAACATACGTTTGGTAAATTAAGGTGTCTCAATTTTTGCCGCCAGAGATAAAATAGGACTATTAATGGCACCTCTTTTAAAGCATTCCGAATATTCGAAATCGAAGATTAGCTCCTCCAGAAAAATGTAGGTCAGAGTGGTCACTGAGTTTCATATGAAAATGGCGTGTTTTAGAGAAGTCAGTGGAAACGTGGAGTACGTGCTGTAAGTTTCCCTGTCATCTTGTCTGGTCCAGTATAATCTTAAAAGCACTATCATCTTAAAACGATAAATGAAAAAAGCTTGCTAAGCTTTTAGGCTGACAAAGTCAAAAGCACTAATGAAACTAATAAAAAAATATAGTTTGTTTGAACAAATATACAAAAGTCATCCGCTCTCGAAAGGCCATTTGGTAGCTGTTCAATATAATGTCTCTTTGAAGGTAATCTAAACACACCGGACCCTAACTATTCTGAAACATGAGCATCCATCGCTTTCGCTTACCTCTTAAGCTCTAAACAAATTGCGGGAACAATGCTATGTGCAACTTGTAGGACAGAGTTCTTGAATGGCGTGCGCCTGCTTTTTTGCCATTGGTTTCAGTTAAAACTGGTGTCTGTACTAAACTAGCAACCCCCTTTTCACACACAATTTCGTAGCTGAAAATTCGTTCGAATACTAGAGGGCAGCAGAAACATACTGGTACTTAATTAAGGTTTGTCAAAGTGTCTGTTGATTCCTTGCAGATATTCACATTTGAAAATGTGTTGCATAGTGTCCATTAGTAAATAAACAACCAAAGTACTGCCTGGCGTATTACATCAGTCCGATTCTGGTGAAGAGTTCTGTTGATCACCTAACACCCCCATTCCTCTTTTACTTGTATGTACCAGCTAAGCACTTTAAGCAGTTCTCCTTGACGTTGCTTATACATTTGGTCCGACAGATCAAGAAGTATCGTGGTATCATTTCTACTGGTAATGGTATAGAAAATTTAGTTCAGCTTCTTGGAAGTTGCCCAGCAATTTGTAAGCAATTTGCGAGTCTGGGTGGAAAAATTTCGGCACATCATCCGATAAAATTAAGTGAATTCCGCGATGCCGTTTTTTGCGTTTCCATCTCTTATACGTTGAAATCATGAAGAGCTCAAATTTTTAATGTATTTGAAGTATGCTGGTAATGTAGTAGGCAGTCATACAGGAAACATGACATTGTTTCACGAATGTAAGCCAGTGCAAGGACAACGAAATGTTTCGAATAACTCATGCAAACGTGGAAATGATTTTCTTCTTAAATAACACATAGCGTTTGTGAAAAAGATTTTAGCAATTTTCAAATTTCGGCACATCATCCGATAAAATTAAGTGAATTCCGCGATGCCGTTTTTTGCGTTTCCATCTCTTATACGTTGAAATCATGAAGAGCTCAAATTTTTAATGTATTTGAAGTATGCTGGTAATGTAGTAGGCAGTCATACAGGAAACATGACATTGTTTCACGAATGTAAGCCAGTGCAAGGACAACGAAATGTTTCGAATAACTCATGCAAACGTGGAAATGATTTTCTTCTTAAATAACACATAGCGTTTGTGACAAAGATTTTAGCAATTTTCTAAAATTATCTCAGACAGCGTTGCCAATTTTGAGAATTTTATAGCAGATTCCATGACGGTATTGAGATCCCGTTTTTGGAAAGCGATGGACATTTAGGAGTTAGTATATCTGCAATCATTTGCACACCAATTTTGTTTCCATAGGGGATTCAACTGAGTCCCCGCTAGAATCGCTCGTTTATAACGATTCATAATGGCATACTAAAAAATAAAATATTTGTAGCAGATGTATTAGCCATCAAACTGTAAGGCGACTTAGCATCATCCTGAGAGGTTCAAATGGACCACATATCCAAAACTATTTTGCGATCTCCTTATAGGTGAGAAGTTAGGTGACAGCTTTAAGATTTATCAGAAAAGACCTACAAGTTTCCTCCATGAAGTTTTACGGACATCCTATAGGACTGCTACGCGCTGTTTCAAACAATCAGAAATAATTTTTATGAAGGCAAACCTGAGGTTGCAAATATTGCAGAAATAATGCATGCCAGTGAAGCATTTGGGACAATACAGATGTGGACAAGATTTAGAACCACATCTTCTCATCTTAAGGCAAACACGTTCAAACAAGTGCTTTGAATAAACACGTGAGTAGTGTGTAAAAGACGCAGGATAAAAATAGAAACCGAAGCATTATGCAAAGCAAAATAGGAGTGAAACTGTGAACTCACTTAAACACAAAAATAATTCGGGTACAAAACTAGCTGGAGTGTCGCTAATAAGAATTATCTAGGCTGGATAAAAAAAACCCGGCCGTAGTCGCCTTCAGCCTAAACGACGCATTTGGGTCTAAAAATAGATGTAATGGACAAATTATTTTGCATCTACGAGTTCTATAACAATTTCTATGTTGAAGCTTTGGTAATGCTTTACTCCTTGGAGTATGGAGTTCAGCTTTTCAACTTTCTTTGCTGAGCGTGACAGTTGATGATGCGCACACTTACGTACACTTGTTCAACTGTCTCTAGGTTAAATACTGAGTTTAGCAAATACACCGATGATTAAGTGATCATCCACCAATGAAAGCACCCTACTAATACTCCGTTGTATTGTTGGACCTTGGTTTTTGTTCTGCAATCAATCGTATTCCATGAGTGCCGGTTAACGTTTACGCTAAAACATCGAATAAACGTGATTTTTATGTAATTATCCTCACTGGTTTCATTTTATGTACAAAGGTTTTTCAGTACAACACAAAAACATTCATCCTACTCCTGAAGCATTACTGACAAGACTGAAATTTATTTACTAAACCTCAAGCACAAACAGCCTGGAATTTAGTTAATCTGCAAAGCTGAAAAACTAACGAGAATTACGCTACTTGGCTTACCATCTCACTAAGTGCGTAACATAATTTGAGCAAGTTATGTCGTATGTCTATCATCGGATATATTTTGTCTCAGTTACATGGATAAAAGATTCAAATGCCTATAAGGTAACAAGCGCTAAATTTAGCTAAAACCGTCACGCAAGGAATGCTGTAATCTTAAAACGACCGTACGGTTCAATACAACAATAATAAAAGCTCAGGGAATGAGATAACTTCGAGGAGCCGTTTGAACATTTCGTCGTGCAGTACTTGTTAATCATGCTTCTTCTAAAATGATAGTTACGATTTATTCGAACAAACTAATGGAACTCACGGAAAAACACTGCTACCTAAACGCTTTGACCACTCTGTGCGCATTCAACTGTGATAACTAATGATTATATGGCTCTCGATCACGTTCTATTCACACGATTTTCCGTGGTAAAAGTGCAAACACGTTTTTTTAGCTTCATTGTTAAATACAAGTGCATCAGTAGAAAAAGCAAATAGTGGTAGTATTGGCAACAGTTATAGCTTACAAATGTTTGTGTACAGGTCCCAATGTCACACTTCTACACACGCCTATGCCACAAAAAATGCGAAACTTCGGGCGAGATTTTGAGATAAGAACATCCACCAATTTTAGGTTGCTTAACTGGACTTAACGACTCAGATTTATTATTAAA